TTAGAGCTCACCACTCAAGCCTTCGCAGAGGCCTGCCGTAGTGGAGCTGTATAGCCTCGCGCCAGGTCGCCTGCACGGTAGTAGATTGGGCTCATGTATCAACAAAGTTTTGAAGCAAAAAAAAAAATACTTTTTTGGGGATTAAATGTAATTGTAATTATATCGCGGAAGGGAGGGGACGTGCGGTTCGAGGTGCGGCTGTCCTTGTCCTTTCCCCCGGGGGTCCCTTGTCGGGCTGCGCCACCCGCACCGCACACTGGCCGCCTGGCAAACGGCTCCGTCTTCTTAGACCGACGCGACTAATCAGAATCTCAATGCGGACTCCAGGGGGCGTCCCCAGGGACATGCGGGGCAGGACTGGATGGCACCACTCTCCTTTCTCTTAGGACCCCCGCGAGCCCCTCGGGGCAGGCTGGCGTGGGTCTGCGCCGGGCGGGGCACTGCCCGGGCAGGGTCTGCAGGGCCGTCTTCCTCGGCTCTAATGGCGACCCCGGCCCGATGGCACGGCTCCGCTGTGCTCCGCTCCGCGAGGCAGTTCAATGTGACCTTTCAGACGAAAATGCCCCTTCCTCGGCGATATTTCATTTCTGGTGAGGCGGCGAACTCCTTTATTGCCCAAGGGTGTCCATACGGCACCGAACCTCCTCTGGCCCATACCGGTCTGATGACGGCCAAATCTTAACGCAAATGCATCACTTTCAACCAAAAAGAATGATTGAAAACTATTTTTTTCCAAATTTTCAACCATGGGGGGAAAAGTGCTGAGTAGGCGGGAAAAAAAAGATGATGCGGAGGACTTCTTTGGACGCAAACCGACGCAAACGTACCGCCAGACAAACCGAGGGAGGGTGATAATTATTCACGTACATCTGCATTTTCGCCAGACCTGTCCTGTCCTCGGCTCGGCCGCCAGGCTCGGCCAGGCTCTGCGAATCAGACAGGGGGCTCCAGTTTCGCCTCGCCGCGCCGCGCCGCCCCACGCCACCGCGTCCCTTCGGATTTAATTAAGTCCAATTGCGTCAAAGACACGTCCTGATGATCTCTCAAGGCGGCCGCGCCTCGGCCCCGGGGCGGAAACACAAAACGACCCAGAGACAGGGAGAGAGAGACACGGAGCGAGAGAGAGGGAGAGTCCATTTTACGACGGACAACAGGCGTAATGTGTAGCGAAGGGAAGGGATGGCGAGGGCCCAAGGGAACAGAATCACTGTCACCGGACACCAGTCCAGAAAAGGGTGCAGAGGGAGAGGGAGTGAGACAGATAGACTGAGAGGGTGGATCACTCGGGCGGCAGGGGCTGCTCCGTTTCCGCCTCTGTTTCGGTTGGCCTGGCCGGCAGACTTCTCATTGTCAAGATGATACAGTCGGAGGGGCGGGGCGGGCGGCGGGTCGCGGCCAGAGTATTACCATGGTATTACTGTGGGGGCCGCTCGGGCTGGGGCAGCTCGGGACGGATGGACAAAGAGGCCTAGAGTTTTAATTTAAAAAGAGAGAGAATTTGAGATTGTCCAGCAGACAGATATATTGTTATCTGAACATTTTCCCCTTTTCGACATTCACTCCATAGTTTTCATTTTCTTTTAGATAAAGATGAATGCGAGAAAATGTCAATGTCGTAGAAGGCGGCCTCACATTTTCCGCGCCGCGTTTAGCTGTGGCGGCTTTCTCTTGGGCCCCTCCCTTCGTCATGTGATTAACGCAGAAATGGTTCGTAAAGGCGGGCGGATCGCGACGATGATCGTTATATTGCTGATATTACGTTTGTCACGCGCCGACTCGGACGCCCCGGCTGTCCTCTTAATGGACCGTTCCGCCGCCCGTTTAGTGTCGAGTAAACACGGTCAGGCCTTGGGCCGGACTGGCTGGACATTGTTGTGCCAGCGTCACGCCTTGGCGTGATGGGTACCGTCTTTTGGGTTTCGTATTAACACGTTCAGTCGGACGTTGGCCAGCACATGGTGACGCTTTATTGGACCTTGGACCTGTCCCTTGCTCTGAAAGCCTAGCAGTACAACAGTCAAAGTGCAGCTTGACAATAACGTTTCTGCTAACGTCCAGGACGATTTTACCAACAGTAGGTTTTTCAGAGCGCTCGTCCAGGTGATCTTAAGAGTTTAAACGTATCTCGAACTGTGGTTTTCTTTTCTTTTGGATATGTTGTTTTACGAGGATACAACTCCTAGTTGGGTTAATAAGATTGCTCTTGGTGAAGTGACGCTATACGCATCCTTCTGAAACACAATCCCCTTGGACCATTGCTGGGTGCCGCTGCTGTGTAATTGAATTACAGTCGCCCAGTCAGGCGTCCCCGTGTGGAGGAGACAAAATAACAGAAAGAAACGACCTCACGTTTGATCGGTGTGGTATCTCGATCGACAATCGTCGGTCGTGACGGAAAACACGGACCCCTTCTATGCCTTTTTTTTCTCTCTCTTCCCTTTCTTTATATCTCCCACCCCTCTCAGTCCCCCTTTCAGCAACATTTTGGCGCGGAGGTGCGCTTTAGTGCAGCTGCTGTGCCCCAAACAGTACCCGGAATACTCACTGCTTATTCACCTGTTTCAGTGTTGTGGCAGAAGCGCCTGCAAAAGGAGCGCAAGGCGCGCCGGCGCCTCCAGGAGCAGCTGGAGCTAGAGATGAAGCGGCGCGCTCAGCTGGAGGAGGCGCTGCGGGGCGCGGTGGGCAGCGGTAAGTCGAAGAGAGTTAACAGGCTTGTAATCTCAGTTTTCAAAGGTCAATACAGGACAGGGTAAATTAAATAATTAGAATACTTCTTTCTTGACCTCTGATTCTTTAATGAAGTCTGCACGACCAAATCGTCTCTGCCGGCCTGTCAACTGGGAGGCCAATCATTGCCGTCCAGTGCCTTGTCGCATCAAAATTGCTCACGGGCGCAAGCAACGGAGTAATTCGACTGTGTCTTGCGTTGACTGATTCGCTGTCGTCGGCTGCGCCGCGTCGGTGCAACTCGAGACCGTTTTTGGCCTTGTGTACTTCGCATGTCGTCGGGCGGTCTGCTGCTGCAGTGGGCCGGGCGATGCGTGAAGCAACTCGGCGCGACAAGACTACTTTATCTCGGCCATCGGTCGCCTCCTTTGGTCGTCTCACTGTAGGCAGCCTGTGTGGTGTGTCCGAATTCAACTCGTCGATGAATCGGCGGCACATGGCGAATACGCCCTCTCCTCCCCTGATCGTTGTTTCTTCTTCCTGTTTTCGTCTTTTGACGAGTTCGCTTTGCATGTAGGCCCAGTATGCGTCCTTATAGTTCAGGAGCGACAGAGACAAACTCGCCATCAATCATCATGCACGCGCCCGCCATGCGCTCAGTCCAGTGCACGCTGCGCCGGGCATGCAGTCGATCACGACGTGCGATGTCGTTACGGAACGAAACCCGACCTGCAGCCAAAGCATAGCAGTGCGCTGCGGTTGTGCATTCTTCCTCACGTTTTGCGCGTCCAAGACACTGAGCAGAGATGACGGTCATCAGGCGCCGGTCTGCGAAAGGGCAGAAGGGCGGCATAAGGTTCAGGCGTGTCCACACCGCATCATGAGGTGCCCTTTCCCGATCAGCCTAATGATACAGTTTACGTCCAAGAGGAAACCTCTCTATAGTTGGACACTAAATTACAGTGTCTTGCGCCGTGCAACGAGAACGCGCATATTCATTTGTGACAATTTGTATTGAGGCGCATCACGAGGGAAAACATGGCGGCCCCGCGAGCTCTGTAATCAGGCGAATATGCGATGGGACAGTATGAGCTGCCTTTGCTACTCCATTTGGCGTGGCCTACTCGGTGGTTTTGCCTGAATGGCCCAAGGAAACATTTCCAACAGGGGACTTTATTCCAGTTATCAGGATCCCAACGACCGTGTGGCTTTTGTGTTCCAGATGTTCTTGCGAGGGAACTGGACCCGGACAGGAAGCCAGGGGAGCAGCCCAAGCAAGAACCCCAGCCGCAAGATTCGACCCAAGTCCACAACAAACAAGGTTCAACATCCCCTCAACCCAATCAACCAAATCAACCCCCTCACCCGATGCAAGGCCACCAAATTCAGCTACTCCACCAGCCACAGCAACTTCAGCACAATCAACAGCAGAAACATCAACAAACATCGCCAGTTCCGGATCGAGAGCGACAATCACCTGCAATTCTTGGTAAGTAAACGAGATGAGTTATCCATTCACATCCACGTGTCTCTGTTTCCGCACAAGGTTATGACAACATTTAAACCTGTTTCAGATACGCGGTCGAATTTTTACAAAAACTCGGTTCTTTTTGGTGGAGCGTCTTAGTTTCAATGTTTGGTGTTTTATTTAGGTTAATGAAATTAACTGATGATGAACTCAACGTATTAAATTAAAACTATAAAAATTGAAGATGATCCACATCGACGTTGAAGATGTTATGTACTTACTCTGTATACGGAAAATGAATTTGTACTAGATTACTTCTAGGAGTTTACGTGATTTCTTCTCCTGACCGTGATCTCATGCTAATAAACCATGACACTACAAACTTCTTTATGGCGTCACCCAACTTCTACTTTTGGAGTTATACAATGTTGTCTAAACTTTTGTATTTTTCCCATTTATTTTATTGATTTGTTCTTCATTGCCTGAATACATAGTTCTAACACAGTACATGTAATCGATCCATTAAGTTATAGACGTGTTTCCATCTCATAGATTTCTTAAAATAGTGGTATAATTTTTTACTTGCCCCTCTGTGTACATGCTTTGTTATTTATAGCTGCGTACTTTAAAACAAACGAAAATAATACCAAAGCAAATGATGAGTAAATATGTTCTCCATTGTTCCACTGTTAGGTTGAGCATTAAAGATTTATTGATTGGTTCATTGAAGTATTATGCGAAAAAGATGGACTTCAAGTAATTTAATTTTGGAGATGTCCTATTTCGAAGTCATTTCACTTTTCGAGCACTGCCTGATTATGTGTTCTGCCGCATACTGCTGCGATAACAAAAAGTGCGTTGTGTTAAGATTATTGAAATAGATTGAGTAGCTTTAACACGCCTAGTTTCATGAAAGGTTATTTTTACTGTAAGTAATTTTTGTGATATTCTATGAGAATTATTGTTATTACTTCACTTATTAGAATGTTGTCATCATATAACGTTATCTCCCCTGTGCATATTTAGCTTCCAAAATGAAACAATATGCGTCGATAAGCAATTTTAAAGAGAGTGCTGCAGTTACATTGTTATTTTGGACGAAGCATGCTTCATTACTGTGCAAGGTGTATCTCGATTCCTTCAAACTGCTGTACTTTTCATTCTTTCTTTGCGATTTCGTTCCTCGGCAAAACGCGAAAAATAAACTTGGTACAAACGAGTAGTATTTTTTATCACTCCAGAGAGTAGCGTCTGAGGGTCGGAAACAAAATGTCACTCCGGAGCCCCGAGCGCCCAAGGCCCCCCGAGCGCCAAGCGCTCTGCGCGGTGACATCGAGTGGGGCGGTGCTTGAAGGGGGCGTCGGCCTCGCGGGGCGCTGCGCGCCGCGCGGCGAGGCCAGGCGTGGCGGAGTGGAGGGGGCAAACAGACAGTCGGCAATGCGCACGAGCCGAGGCCCTCTGTTATTTGTCCGGGGCGACGACGCTGGTTGGGCCCGGCTGAAGCGTCGGGACGCCCCTCCTACTGGCTGACGCCCCCTCAACCCCCGCGCGGTCCCCGCCTCGGCTGCCTGGCGTGCTCCTGCTGGGGACGCGCCGGACAACGTTCAGCTAGACGGCAGGGAGAATACCGACAATCTAAGAACGATGTAATTGTTACAACTTAAACGTCGAACGAGGACATTGATTTAAAGTAGGGCGGTGGGAGGGGGGAAGGGTACACATGCGTTCCGAGTGCAACAGGACATTCGACCGGGCGCTCAGCGCGGAGCCACGGAGACCTCTGAAAAAGAAACATCTGTCACTTATTCACTTTGAGACCGTAGGTTTCCACAACATTGAAAACATTCTTAACATAAAAATGACCGACGTTCGACATTAGAACCACCGACCTGCTGAGCCACAACGACTGCGACGCCATGGGTAACAATCAAGAAGCGCGTTGACTAAGACGCTTGCGCTTGAAGGTAAAATGGGTGTCACCATCACCAACACAGTTGCGCACGTACTCGGCGTGGTATCTGTGGTGGCATCTGCTACACAAGGACAGCAAACTCTTCTATCAGATCAGCAAGAACAATTTTGATTTTTTTTTTCGGGGCAGGAGTAGCACATGCACTTGAATGCACTACACATAGAAGCGGTGAGGTTAGGTTAAGTTAGTTATCAAACCAATTCTATCAATAGTTCAGCAACAGCAATTTTGGTTGTCTTGGGGTTACTTTAGCACTCCACTTGAATGATTCAGGGCAGACACCACATTATTGCAGGTACACCTACTCCACGCTGTATGACCCGGTCTGCTCTGAAACACCTGGTACTTGATAATAGAAGCGGCAAGGTAAGGTTAGGTTAGTGAATCGCTACTATTAGCAAAGGATGCCAAATAAAAATTTTAAATGTATATATCGAATTTTTTAAAAAGTGTATTTCGTTCTTTAATGTTCAGTATAGTTTCAAAAAAATCATTTTAACCTTTGGCCGGTATCTGAATTAACGACCAGTTACGTTCCGAACAGGCGCAGTAGACTTACCAACTTTTGAATATGATATTTTTACCAAATGTAAAACGAATAAGTGATCAAAATGCTCAAATAAGTTAATATTTGATGCGAAAAAATTGGCCCTTGGTCAACGGGCGCCCTTTTCGTCCTGGAGTACAAATTGTAATACAGGAAACAGGAGGTAAGCAGAGACTGACATATTACTGTCGTTGTATATATTATTTCCAGCTCGCCGCCTTTTTTTGTGGCACCTTCCTGAAGGATACTGACGGGCCTTGTTGTACGGTACTTACGGTGTTACACAATCCCTGCCATAGAACGCTGCCGACACTGTGGCGCCTCGCCACAACTCGATTCGATATGATTCGTACACCATGGGGGACGCTTCGCGTCACGGCTGCCGGTCGCGTAAGCTGGTGTCTCCAGAAAGGCATTCCAAATGGACGACTGCTGACTCTCGCTTTTATTTGTTATTGTTTTTTTTATATATAAAATGTAGAGTGGAAATGTAATTCCCACGGAGCAGCATCAGTATAATAGGAGAAGCGCGACTGCAAGGGGGCGGTATATATTTGGGGGAATAAGCTAATTTATCTTACGTCTTCGTCAAGACCCCTGCTCTGGACAAGGACAGGCGGCAGTCGAGTCCCCTCTGCGCCCAAATAGGCAAATTTCGTTACAAATCCGCAAGTCATCCCCCCAGCGCAATGATACAAGGCCATCAATCATAATAAAAATCCGCGACCGCACCCGATAGCCATGCGCGGCGCGGCGGCGGCCTGACTTGTGGAGGGGAGAGCTCAAGACGCTTTGAAAAAGCGCGCCAAGCCGCCGCCACCGATCCCCGCTGTAATCTCTTGCGGGAGGAAAACAGTTGAATGGGAAATAAAAATGCATTAAAAGTCGTCACCGGGATAAAGGAAACGTCAGTTACGGCACTTTGCTCTGCGAAACATAAGGCAGTTGTCAGCCATGATTGAGCGATCTAAAAGGCGGCTTTGGTCTCTCTCCCTTTCTCGCTCGCCCTCTGTCGTACGCGAAGCCGATACCACCCGTATCACAAACCTGACGCATGTAAGATTTGAACTCCATAATGCCTCATCTCCTACTTTTTCCCAGCTCCTGGGATGACTCAATGTACCGAATTCATAATTTCATTACTGCGAATGCGAGAATGTGACTGTGACGTTGCCACGGAGTCTTTGGCGGAGTCCCTCACACGCCGCTGCGGCGCTGCGGCTGGCGTGTTGGGCTGCGTCCACAGTCGCGCCTGTGCCCGGTGACTCGACAATTTTGTTCAACAACGGGAGCGACCGCGGTGAGACGGACACGACACGGTCAGATATTCACTGGTGAGAGGGAGCGAGAGAGGAGACCGGAGGAGACCAGACGGCGATATCAGTAAGAGAGGGAAAAAAGAGCTTTGCGGTACAATACGCGGCGAGGTCTCCGTGCTGTCGGACATGATCTAGACCAGCGGCTGCAATGTGATTCTACTCGCATTCGCCCGAGAGGGAGAGTGTTTCCAATTCCGCCAAGGAGAATCGGCGGGCCGTGCAAGGCACCATGGGCGCAGCGCCTGACACAATCGTGTGAGAAGTGCGCGATACCGCGCGACCATGACCTTGTTGCTCGCGTCACCTTCCTCTGCCGCAAAACGAAAAGAACGATGAAAGAAAAAAAATACACTCATAGAAAATACAACGGAGAAAAATACTTTCTTTGTTAATACTACCTACATTGGTATTCAGTGTGGAGGTGGTCTCAACCATTAGACGTTTCGACATGCAGACTGTTTAGACGCTCCACCAAACATCGGATTATCCATCAGACAGTAAGGGGCGGGGTGAACTGAACGCCATTTTAGTTTGAACATGCCAATTTTTCGGCCGTAGCCACCAAACATTTCTTTCAGTGCAGAGAGTCGACACACTGTAAAAGCTAAACAGTACTATTTGCCTTGTACCCCTATGTTGGGGTATCGTCAACTGTTTTATGCGGACTGAAGTCACCGTCGGAGGGGTATTTCGCCAAGTACCCCTCCGAGGGGGTCCTCTTTACCCCTAGGTGTTTGGTGGGGTCAAACCGCACTGCATGTAGGGGTATACTGTTGACGGGTACTTTCTGGCCCCTCGCCGGGGTACAGGTAACCGCCATAGGGAGTGTGATTTTCACCCAGCTCGGGGTTCTGTGGTCCCCGTCGGACGGGGATTACTGTTGCTCTGCTCTTCCCCCTCTTCCGCACCCGCCCTCCCCGGAGGGAGAGGGACGGAGGAAGGGGAGGGGGAGGGCAAGCGGCGTGCCCGGCGGTGTCGGGCAGGCGAGACAAAGGCTGGAATGTCTTCCGCCGTCTGGACTCGCCCCCGCATCGGGCTGCATGGCTCAGTTGGTTGCGAACGAGGCGAGGACGCTGAGTTGGCAGCGCCGGGTTCTGTTCCCGGCGCTGGCAGCGGTAGGCGTGTATCCTTCTATGTAGCAGCCGAACAAGCCATGATCATAGCCTATGAGGGCCAACTCGGATGACCGTAGGAATCCGAAATAGCAAAGGGGCAGCCGCCTCGATGCGAACATCAGAGCAAACATCCGCAAATCAAATAACTATTTTCATTTTTTTTAACATCGGCATTTTAAAATTAAATAATATATCTGCGAACAATAGAAATTGCTATTGTTTGCAGATATATTCTCCCAAGATCCACATACCGGACTCCGAAAGCTCCTAAAGGCCCCCCCCCCCGATATATAAGCACGCAGGCGGGAGTCCCCGTGCGTGGAGGACAAAGAGACACCGCAAGGGGTACATTGAGCCCCGTCGGACGAGTACAGGCAGTCCCCGATGTCGCCAGTAGCGGAGCGCCAACGAGTAAGAAATAACCCCTCGTGAGGGGAACGCTTGACCTGGCTAATGGGTAAGAGGTACCCCTCCGACGGGAACACTTTGGACATCAACGTAATGCGGACAGTTGTCACCCTTGGCTTTTACAGTGCACTGTCAAGAGGGGTAAACGCACGCGACGATTGCGGTTGAAACCGCCATACGGAATACAATGCGTGGGCCCACTGCGGACTGCGGTCTCTGCTCTGAGCGATCGCGTGGCACAGATTCCTCGGGCGGATAGCACGGCCAGGTTGGCGATCATGAGCAGGCGGGCCCTTGAGGCGCGCGCGAGTCGCGACGACTGTGCGACCGCAGCGATGCGCGACGGTACGCTTTCATTCTTGGCATTGTGCAAGCCTGTGCCGGCGACGACGTCTTGATCCTGCTCACGCAACAAACAACTGATCCGTCGTGGCGCGCAGCGCGGCGCAACAGTCGCGCGCACTTCAGCCGTATGATTGATAAGTACGCCCCCCTCTCCTACATCTCGGCTCTCTTCTTCTCGCTTCTTTCTCTGCGTAACAGACCGACTGTTTGCTCAGTGAGTAGCAGCGGTGCGGCGGCAGCAGGATTCATAATAACGACTGCTCTCTCTCTCTCTCTCTCTCTCTCTCTCTCTCTCTCTCTCTCTCAGCTCCCCCTCGGGCTGCGCCGGGATTTGCATTCCTCAAAATCTCGCCTTTGCAGCGGCAGCAGTGTGTGAGGCGCAGAGCACCAGACCCGGGGCAGCAGCAGCCGACAAAATGATTATTTCCAGACGTCCGAGGAAGACGGATCGGTCACGTGAGCGGGCGGGGAGGCCGAGGATTTGGATGGAGCCGCAGCCAGCGTGCGAATAGCGCC